TTGAAGGCTTGTTTGGCCTATTAGCCTACATAAAAGCCTATTGCATTTGATCCTAGCACTACCAAAAATAAGACATTTGGTTAAATGATTTTACATTAGATTTCAAGATATATGATGTAAAAAATATTTGTCAAAGGATTTTACATCAAATTTCATAACAATATGAAGTGAAAAATATTTGATTTAAGGATTTTACATCAGGCATTTATATCCACTGATGTGAAAAGTAACAAGGTGTCAGTCTAGTAAATAATAAGAAGTTTTGTTATAAAGAATTTCATATCGGGCCTGGATTTGCACCCAATGTGAAAAGTTTACTGATGAAAAAATAACAAGGTGGCAGTTTCGTAAATAATATGAAGATTTGTTATAAAGGATTTCACATCGGGCCTGAATTTGTGCCCGATGTAAAAAGTTCTCTATGAAAAAATAATAAAAAATAATAAGAACGAATTTCATATCGGGCCTGAATTTGCGCCCGATGTAAAAAGGTATCTGTGAAAAAATAATAAAAAAGAATAAGAATGGATTTTACATTGGGCCTGAGTCTGCACCCGATACAAAAAGGTATCAGTGAAAAAATAATAAAAAAATAATAAGAAAGGATTTTACATCGGGCCTGAGTCTGTGCCTGATGTAAAAAGGTATATGTGAAAGGATTTTACATTAGGCCACATCCCAACCGATGTAAAAACCACTTTAAAACTTTAAATCCCTAGTCGCGAAATTCATTAGAATTTCATATCTTCTTTCTATCGCGATTCATTTCTTCTTCCATTTGCAATCCATATCTTTTTACTCTTCGCACAACCACGAATTCTTATCTTCTTTCTCTCCACCACCGCGACCCTAACGTATTTTCCGCCGCCGCGGCGCATTCGCTTCTCTGCTGTCGCGCCCTAACGTCTTCTCCGTCGGGCCGCAACGACACTTTGGTTTCTCCGCCGCCGCGACGCTTTGGTTTCCTCTCTAATTTATTATCGTTGTAACATACTTGATTATCACCGCACCTCTGACACTTGTTTTCTCCGCTACTTCTGTTTCCATCTAGATTGGTGTATTTTTGGTTTATGATATTATTACTAGTTTTCTGATAGAGTTTTACTGATTTGATATTTTTGGTTTATGATACTTTTTCTTATAGAGTTTCCATTTTGAATTATGTTGTTTATCCTTTTTGAATGTTAACTTCACTGAATCACTTGTACTAAAAAATTTCAAACAACAAAAGCATAAGCATGGATTTTTTTCGTTCATTTTCGTTATCAAAATAAGAATGAGAATTGAAAAGGATTTACTCATTAAAAGTAGAAATTTGACTTTTCAGACTCATTTTTCATGTATATTCCTCTTACGGTTGTAGGTATTGATATATAGAAACTAAATTTCAATATTTATGTAGTTATTTTAACATGGAGAGTTTTGCTTTTCCCTTCTTGATCTTGTTAGGCCAAGGTAGCACCTCTGCTTGCCAGGTCCAACTTGCTAATTATAGAGATATCGAGTGGGCGAATCTTGTGTTGGGATTTGAATAGGTGACCTTCTTTATTTTTTATGGTTGATTCCACTAGTTATATTTGTCACAAAACCAACTTCTTTATTCTTGTTAATTTATCATTTTCATTTCATGTGATGGATAGTTTCTAAATATTTATTCTTGTTAGTTTTTAGAAGATATTTCTAAACATTTATTCATGTGATGGATAGTTTCTAAATATTTGTCCAAGAGACAATATTAGCAATTAATAATCTTTTTCCCAAGAGGCAATATTGCGGTCCTCTTTTGTTCACTTCATCGGGAACTTAATCAAACCATGAGAAAAATTGTTACAAAATAAGTTTATCTTTTATGTGACTTTTGTTATACTATATTATATATCATATATAGATAAATTGTTACAAAAATAATTTTATATTTTATGTGGCTTTATATGGATTTTTTTTTTGGAATTAGTGCTTTTGGGGTTTATCAAATGGAAAATGACAATAGAAAAAAGACTACATGGCTTCAACCCAGTGTAAACGTGGTGTAAATTATAAATCTATATTTAATTATATTGTAAGTATTCGCCTAATTATGTCATTAATTTGTAGACAAAGCGACAACATAACTCTATTGATTGTGCCTACTATGTGATGAAAAATATGTTGGATATTGTCTCTGACAATATAACCGAGTCTTGGATGCAGGTAATAAAAATAACTTTACTTTGTTATTTACTTTGTGTTTTGCGACTTAATGTGAATTTTCAAATAATAACTTCATATTGTTATTTACGTATTGTAGGCATTTGATGACCCAACAGAATTAACTCAAGATGATTGGTATTATTTGCGACTCCGTTGGACAACATGTTTCTTTGAGTTATATAAAAAATAAGCTTTATCTGGTGAGTTATATAGTATTGTCTATATATATATATATATATATATATATATATATATATATATATATATATATATATATATATATATATATATATATATATATATATATATATATATATATATATATATATATATATATATATATATATATATATATATATATATATATATATATATATATATATATATATATATATATATATATATATATATATATATATATATATATATATAATTTGAGTTTCTTAACTTTGGTGTTGTCTACTGATGTTAATTGGTGTTATTTTTTTATTGTCAGGAAATATGATGTTGGTGTCGTCTACTGAAGTTACAACTCATCTTCTTGTGAATTACATGTTGTTAATTCAAGTGTGGGAAAGGACTTATAAATGGTTGGATATTTTTGTATGTTTTCACTAGTTTTGTTGTTGTAGTAGTCCACCGTGTAAACATACTTATAATTTTGTACACTTGTGTGTATCTTAGATTATTACTTTTTGTAAATCAATTGTTCATTTTGAAGAATATGTGCATCCTACCTATTTGGTGCAATGAAATTAATAGGTTGGTTAGAAAAATATGAAAAAATAGATACCAAATAGCGACTTAAATGTGGTTTGTGTTATGTTGAAAAAATATGAAAAATTAGGTACCAAAAAAATTACAGGAATTCTACCTCGATTCCACTAAAAAATAGCCTAAATTTTTAAGAAAAATAGCATACACATTACATCGGGCCTGAAATGCAACCGATATAAAAACATGTATTTTACATCAGGGCAAAAAGACAACTGATGTAAAAAACTGTATTTTACATCGGGCCTGAAAGGCAACCGATGTAAAAACCTGTATTTTACATCGGGCCATAAAAACAACCGATGTAAAAACCTGTCTAAAAACCTGTATTTTACATCGGGCCAAAAAGGAAACCGAGGTAAAATGTGCATCTATTTTTAAAATTAAAAAAAAATTAAAGCATATTTCACATCTGAAGTAACAATCAACCGATGTAGTAAGTGTATTTTTTACATCGAATTCTACCTCGATGTAAAATGTCTTTGATTTACTACATCGCTTGCCTTTACATCAGACCCAAAGGCCTCTGTAAATAAGCAATTACATTAATGTTTAAATACACTAAAAAATTAAAAGATCAATGAGACTAAATACTTATTTACATTGACTTATTCAAGTTTACATATTAACATAAGTTTTTTTATACTATTTGCTTGAGAGAACTTATGAAAATATCTTATAACATTGTTCATAAGGTTTTTTAACTTATTTTATATGCTCTTCAAGATAACTAATCTTTACTTTTTTATTTTGATTCAAAATACACATAAAATATAATAATAATAATAAAATTATTTATATTTATTTAAATAGGTTGGTCTGATAGGCTTAAAAGGTTTTTTTAAGGTCTCTGGCCTAACCTTTTTAACTAAATAGGCTTGTAAAAAAACTTAGGCCTTTTATATTTGAAAAAAAAAGTCTAGTCTGACCTAAGTCTATGTAGGCTAGGCCGTACGCCCCTGTTAGTTGGCCTAGTCTATTTCCACTTCTAATAACAAGTGTGAGTAGTATGAATAATAGTCTCATATTAGATAGAAATGCGTTGACTTGACCTAATATTTAATACTTTCTAGTATAAAACTCTTCTAACAATATAAATGTTTAGTATATTTTATAAAATTTGTTATCCTATTAATGAACCTGAGCAAATAAAATATAAATTTATTCTTTTTTAATACAAATGAATAATATATTTAAAGAAGAAAAAATGTAAAAATGTTAGAAATCTTATACTCTTTCAACATGAAATTAACATATGAACAAACCATAAATTTTACGAGTTCTTACGAAGATTTCATAAAAAGGAATTAAAAAAAAAAAAAAAAAAAGGAAAGAAATGAGAGATACATTAATCACATTTACATTAAGGAAAGAAATTTGGAAGAAAAATAAGTAAATATTTAAGTAACATGCGACAGCAATAGTGAGAAAATAATCTCTCTTTTTTCATCATTACTAGTACCTTTTAGATGCATTTGGATTTTGGACAACCATACTCAAATTATTGATGTAAGTTGAAACAAGTATTGTACAATTTAGTAATTTTGTCATCCATTAACATTGTTTGCAATTTTAACAGAGGTATAACAAACATGCCGATTTTACAATAAACTCTCATGAGATTATTATTATTAAGGTTTATTAGGTTTACGTGCATTTAATCGGTTGCACTTTTATATCAACCGATTACACTCCTTTAATATTAACTAACACAATCTATAGCAGCAAAGTGCGAGTGATTGACAAAATATGTTAAAATTAGTTAACAACCGAAAGAGCGAGTAACATAATATGTCAACAAACTATACTCAATTATTTTTAGGAAGTAATTAGGATAAATTAAACCTTACTTTTATTATTAAGTGAAGATTGGAAAATTTAGAAACAGAATTCTAAATCACTTTAATCTCTCAACAAGTCTGAACTCATAGGTACCTAGCTAAAACACTAAAAACCAACATTCATATTTCTTGGCAATACTTAAAACTGAAAAATAAACAAGCTAAAATAACACAAATCTCATTCAATCTAAATCATCATCCCATTTTCCATGTCATAGCAAAGTTCTTACCAACAGGGATGCTCAAACCTCTCAATGCAACCATCACAGTCTTACTTTCTCCATTTCCTTCACCATTCAAATCCACATGTTCAGAAGTAGTAACATCCAACCCCGACTTACCAATCAAAGGTTTTCCGTCTAACTCAAGTGATGCCACTGCTCCAACATTTCCATCCAATCCCAACACAGATATTGAATCAATGATCAAGCCTTTGTCCAAAGCAAACTTACCCTCTTGAACTTCTGACCACACTTTCACACCTCCTTGTTTCACACTCGCGTATAGATTGATAAAACTAGAATATCCATTTCCAAGCTTTATTTCTGGACGTTCGTCGTCATCGATGAAAAGCGTACCTTTAGCTTCTCCTTCTGTTGCGCCACCCGGGAATGTTACAATGAGTGTGAATGGCGTTGTTCTAGCTTCCTTGGAGATCAAGCCACCTTGCTGCATTGGAAGAATGGTGTTCTGATATAAATGGACATTTACTACATGAAGAGGTGCGTCGAGTGTAACATAAGTTCCGTCTTTGGATGTTATGGTGTGAGTCCAATCAAGTAAACTGTACCAACTACCGGGAGGAAACAACGCTTTCACTTGTGTTTTTCCTTGCTCAAGCACTGGCGATATCATGAGACTGCTTCCGAGCAAAAACTGAGTGCTGAGGCCGTAACATTCGGTGTATGTTGGGAAAGTGAAGAAAAGTGGTCTTGCAATTGGTGATCCACTGACATGAGCTTCATAGTTTAAAGTGTAAAGATATGGGAGAATCTTGTATCTTATACCTAAAGCGTTTCTAGCTGATTGAGCTACTGAATCCCATTGGTAAAGCTCCTGTCTAGGGGAGTAGTAGTTTGCATGATCTCTTGAAAAAGGGTAGAAAGCACCTACTTCGATCCATCGGTTGCATAGTTCTTCAGTTGGTTGTGGATAGAATCCACAAATGTCTGAACCAACCATTGGAACACCGAAGATACCAAAATTCAACATTGTGGATATTGAATACCTCAAATTCTCCCATGTTCCTTGGTTGTCACCTGTCCAATGTGCAGCATATTTCCCCGAACCGACGTAAGTGGATCGCGACAAAATAAAAGGCCTTTTACCTTCGATTGCAAGAAGACCCTTGTGTGTTGCGACAGATTGTGAGAAACCATAGATACTATGAGCATCATACTCCAAGACGCCGTTATAGTGGGTTGCACTAGTGGCTATTGTTTTGTATCCTATTGGAGCTTGTATTCCTGAAGCGTTGATTTTGTAAGGAGGATCGTCCCATCTTGTTTTGGTGATGTTCTTGCAATCCAAGCAACAGATCCATCCCGGTCCTGTTCCACTTGGACATATCTTTCCCTTTGGAATTGTGCATTTACCAGAACAGAAATTCGAGGCTTCGTTCATGTCAATCCATAGGCCATCAACAGGTACGAGTTCATGGAAGCGGCGGATCTCGTCACCCCACCAAGATACTGTCTTCGGATTGAGAAAATCAGGAAAGTTTACCGCTCCAGGCCAAACTTGAGCCAAGAAAGGTTCACCTTCGTACTTGATGAAAACATCGTTAGCCAAACCTCTTTGATATACACCGTAACTGGAGTTAACACCAATTCCAGGGTCAATAATGACAATGTACTTCATGCCGATGCTGTGAATCTTGTTTAAGAAGTTTAGAAGCTTAGGACGAGGATAGTTGTTTGGATTGAGTGTGAAGTCTTTGTGTCCGTCCATGTGGTCATCGTCATTCCAAATCACATCAAGTGGGATTTGAGCCTTCTTGTAACTATCCACAACATCTTCCACAACTGATAGATTGTGATATCCCCATCTGCATTGGTGGAATCCTGTAATACCAATAAGTCAATAAGTAAAAATACTTGAGGAAAGCTTTACGTACCATTTTTCAACTAGAGTCGGATGCATAAGAATCTAAGCTAGGGGGTTGATTAGCTCAACTGGTTTGAAATATGAAGGAGTTAGAGGACCTAGGTTTAAATCCAAGAATTAGAATTGAATCTGAGACCTTAAGAGAATCACACTCATAAGTCTCAAGCTTTCACCAACAGATCTAGAGGACCTAGGTTTAAATCCAAGAATTAGAATTGAATCTGAGACCTTAAGAGAATCACACTCATAAGTCTCAAGCTTTCACCAACCGATCAACCCAGGTTAAACTAACAACTAATCATTATTTACGGTTAGCTACATTGAAAAGTGATAATTGAATTTCCCACCTTAAATTCTTACCCTTAAGCACAATGGACCATAAAGTGACTGATATTAATTCCAACAACGAAAGAAGCTTATCTTTAAAAGACATTAAAAATCTCCCACATGGTTGATGCTATTAACAACACAATTTGAAAGAGTAATAAAAATAGCGACCACATATGCATGTAACAAATTTGAAATTCTTGGCCCAAAAGTTTAGCATAAAAGATCAATTATTATTTTTATATGGTAAAGTGAAGTTTCCATTTTTAGTGGGTGATATCATTCCATGTGGACCTAAAAGGTATTAAATTACTCAACAGCAGCACAAGGTGGACCAGAAAAGATTTTGTTAGGATTCAAATCATACAAACACCGACAGAATTGAAAATAACTTTACAAAACCCAAATTTTGAAAAGAATCATAGCACCCTCTTCATACGGGTGCTCCTCTTAAGGTCTCAGATTCGAATATCATTAAAGTGCAAACAATCCTTCGGATGGGTCAGTCCATACAGAGCTATTACTAGCTTTAAATGGATCCAGTCTAGTGGACAGTCGAATCAGTCCCTCGGATGGATGAGTCCATACAAAGCTATGATCTAGCTTTATATGGGCCCCGGATGGATCAGTCCATACAAAGCTATGATCTAGCTTTAAATGGGCCCCGGACTAGTAGACGGTGGAATCGATCCCCTTGAATTCTCAAATGCTCTCATAGTAAAAATTCAACAAAACCACCGAACTACACACACAATTATAAATTAGTAAAGTGAGAATTGAAGAATCATACCAAAAGCCCAGTAAGGCATAGGAGCAGGTCTTCCAATCAAAGAAGTATACTGATCAACAACATTCAAAGGAGTAGGACCAGAAAAGAAGTAAAAATCAAAGACACCACCAATAACCTTGTAAGTAAGAGAATTTCCTCTATAAAAAACATCCATTCCATTACTATTCAACAAAAGAACAGCATGTGCAGAAGCTTGACCACCATTATTTCTCAGATCCATATACATAGGATGTGATCCATACAAATCAGCATTAAGATTAATAGCTGATATATCAGTTGTATACAAAGTGTAAGGATCACTTGGATACAACTTAATCCCATGTGGCTGTGTGTTCTCTCCCAAACCATATAAAGATGCATCTTTTGGTAACTTTGTTGAAATCTCAAGATACTGGTCTTTGAAAACAAGTGAACTAAAAGGGTCTGAAAAAGTGGATGTGGAATTGAAAAGGGTTTCGCCGTTTGATTTTCTTTTGACTGAAAAACTAAATGGGTTTGAAATGTAGCTGAATAGAAGCTCAGAACCTGAATACTCTGAGACTTCAATAGGGTCAACCTTCTTGAACTTTCCTATTGTTTGTGTCAATGACGGTGGTTGTTCCCTTGGTATTAGGTTGTAGGGTACTTCCCATCTTTGCTTGTTTGCATCTGTTATGTGTACCCTTAAACGGTTATCTGTTTCATGCCTGCAAAATAAAACAAGTACAATGAACAAAACAACCTTCGAGAAACACAAGAAAATACTACAACTTGTTTAAGAACAAGACTTAAGAAACAAAACAATGTGTTTTATTATGACTTACTTAGCATAGAACCTAAGAAGGGGAATATCAGGACCATAGATTTTGGTTTTCTTGTTAATTTGAAGGAGTCCAACAAGGGCACCATCAGAGGTCTCTTGAATGGAGATAAGACTATAGCCATTGCCGATTTTGGTGACATTATTTGATGAACAAGTAATGTCAGATGCAAAAAGAACAAGAGTTAGAAGAAGAGAGGAGAGACATAGAGATGCTAAACAGTGAGGAAACACCATAGCTCACTGAACTGGATTATAGTGAGGGGGAGTGAGTGAGCAAGATAGTGTGAGGGTAGATGTGGAGTATAAATAACCAAATACCAACCAGATCCAAATAAATTACTCTCTTTACCATTTTTTACTTGTAATTACAGAGATTAAACATCCTAATCAGACAAGATTATAATAGGCTGGACAAAAAATATAGGTTTTTTCTTAACTATATTCTTAGGTTTATATTAGTCTCTTAATTATTTTTTGTATTTGATTGATCTTTGACTCTTTAAAACGTATTATATTGGTTTTTTTGTCTAATTAATTATAAAAAATATTTAAAAATTTGTTATTAATTAGATAAAAAAAATTAATATAACACATTTTAAATAGTTATGACTTATGAGGTTAATTTAAACTTAAGAAGGGAAAAAATATTTTATCTAAAATTTTAAAAAGATTTAACAGTACTAGATATATGTATATATGTATATGTTAGACATGGTTCATTTATTAATGTTTGGATAACAAAATGTTAATACCTTTTTCTAACTGAATAAGATGCGAAGATAATGAAAGAAAATTTTTAGTTAATCAACATTAGTCATTGTTGAGAAGACAAATAGTAAGGTATTTTATTTGCTATACTGTACCGAAGTTCTCTTAACCTACTGTTTTTTTAGTATATAAGAGATGACACGACACGTATAAGGTGGAAGATTTCTTACTTGAACACGTGATACCATAAATAAATAAATAAAATATTTAATTTAATAATATTTTTTTAAAAAGATAATATAACACAAAAGGAATGGATATAAAAAGAGAGGGACATCAAATCAAAATCTTCTCAAAAAGATGTGAATCTAAAGAACGGCAAATTAAGTTTATTCTTCATAAAATCAGTTCTTAAAAATCAAGAATCAGTCTCAGGTTGTCTAAAGAAGCACCATCACAACTAATCTTGATCCAATTCTATGGAGGCGGCTTGCAAATAACTTTCAGGATCTTGGGAGCACAAGAAGGATGAATAGTGACTTTAGAGTTCTTCAACAGCTCAAAATCGCAGATGTTGATAAAAGATGGAGTTTTGAAGTTATTATCAGCAAACCTACAAACTGACATAATATCAGAAATAGATAATTTTCTTGTCTTTAAATCTAACAATGTTCCTAGCAAAGCAAACAACATTCAACAAATGAATATCAACAACGTTAAAAATTAACTTACATTGATTCGACCAATTATGGTTGCAGATACTCCAAATACCATCTCACTTCTTAACCAGCAAACTAATGTTGAGAGCTTTGAACAACTAATGCCAAAGATGGGAAACATAAGAGCACTCAAAGAAGAGGTGGTTAGTAGATTTTTCTTCAACAAAACAGAGGTTGCACCTAGACGGAAAGAAAAAATTCCTACGCTTCAACTAATCATCAATGGAAAGTTTTGACAACAAAAGTCTCCAAACCAAAAAACACTTAGAATGCGGGATAAATTTAGCCCAAACCCACCTCCACCAGTCAGATCGATCACCAAACAAGTGCTTAAAAACATAAGCATCTATGAGATTAAGCTCCCCTGAAGAAGTGTGCTTCCAAATTCTTTTATCCAGACGAAGATCGAAAGGAATAAAACAATTTTAAACTTTATCCTAAATCGAAGCTGGAATAATAAAGTTAGTATTCAAAAATTTCCATCTACAATAAATAATGAAGGAGCTAACAAGAAAATCATTCAACACCGACACCGAACCCATCTCCAAGTGAAAAGGATCACTGCATCAATCATCATACCAAAATCTTATAGAACTACCATTGCCAAGAATCCAAGAAGAATTATCACATATTAACGGAATCACGGATTTGTTGCTAGTCTAAATGGTGGAGTAAATATGATGCTTAATGAAGAGATTATTAATCAAAACCCGACTTTTGAGAAGAGAAGCCCAATGATCCTCAGAATTCAAGAAATCCCAACCAAGCTTAAGATTGGAAGCCTCATTCAAAGCAACCCAAGATCTAAGCCCAAGACCATCTTTCGGAACCGGCCTACAAATATTCTTCCAGGCTACCGTAACAGTTTTTCATTTCGATGATGTCAAAACTTCGTTCCATTATGTTGGGCGTTATCATCTTATCGCAGGTGCATGTTTTGTCTCTCATAATTCAAATGCTTGTAAAAATCACGTTTGTTGTATATAGTTGCATGTTCTGCACAATCTTACATTCGGGTCTACTCAGGTCGACCCCATTTACTGCATAGGTCGATCGCTCGCTGTTTTGTGTCAAAATTTTGTTATGTCAACTGTCTTTGTGAATTGGTTTTGTTTGTTATGTCAGTTATGTTTGGTATATAAGTTCAGTTTACTCTTTCATTTCACAACATTAAGAAAAATAAGAAAAGTGAAATATGTGTCGATTTGGTTCTCATCATCTTCATTCTCTTCATAGCATCTCACAACAATTACACATAATCATCTTTGTTGTACATTGTGCATTGTTAGAGGTGATAACGTTTGAAGCCGAAGATTGGGTTATCCGGTTCAGGTTGAGAAATCGACAAGTTTTTCTTGAATCAAACCTTTGGGGTTTTACTCTCCAAGATTCTTAGATTTTGGGGGGTTTTTGCACGATTTGTCTCATCACATATTCAGCTGGGTGAAGGTAAATGAGGAGCTGGAGGTTCCGTCGATTTAGTAACGGTAAACGGAGGATTGTGAGTGGGAGTTTCGAGTTCGACACGCGGGTGATTGAAATCATTCGGGCCAGATTTTGAAGACTGGAGCTTATTCAAAGATATTGTCGCAATCGGAGGTTTATTCACAACTGTCGAAGTACTTGATTCAACTTGAATCAAGGGGCAAGAAGAAATAGGATCTACAATAATAATAGTGTTCGTTTGTTTGATAGCTATTAGCTTCTTGTATAAACTTTCAACAACAGGTTATATCTATCTATTAACAGGTCTCAATTCTATTATTAGAATTGAGGGCAGACGTACCCCGAGCGAGGACGACGGGGGAACTGCCTCAACAAATCGTTGTGTCTTTTGCTTTACGTTTATATTGCTTAATAATTGAGTTTTTATTGCAAATGATTATATCAATCTAGGTATGGTTTGTGTAGTGCTAAACTAATTTTTGAACCTAGTACAATCATTGATTGTAAGAGGAAACTTGAGTAATTCACTCTCAAAACAGAACTCACTTGTAGTGCTTTGCACTCCAAGTGTTTGATAAATTGTCTGAATTAAAAGCCTTGTGTGTTGTCTTTTCATAGTGTTAATATTTTTAAGGGATTGAAACTAGTCACACCGTATAGTGAGCTGAATCAAATTGATAGTGTGATTAACATAGCGATTCTCATATCTTGTTTATCTGATTCCATAGGCTTAACGCATATCCGGTTTTCTAGTAACTGTTCGTTTTAGACGTGTATAGTTCCTCGGCCGCTTCCGCAATTAAACAAATTTTAAAAACCATTTTTATTGGTAGCGTCGACTCTTTTAAGCAAGCGATTTATTCAAACCCCCTTCTAGATCCGCGCCATTGTCTAACAAGTGGTATCAGGAGCACCGGTTCATTCTGTGCTTCAAGTATAACTTAGTAGAAAATGGCTAACGAACCTAAAGGGGCTTATAATAGAGCACCTGCTTTTAATGGAGAAAACTATAGTTACTGAAAAGACTGTATCTGTGTGCATATAAATTCCATTGAAATGAAGGTATGGAATGTTATTTTGAACGGTCCTATGGAAATAACCATGATCGATGAAAATAACATGATTGTGCCTAAGCCTGAAGTACAATGGAATGATGATGACGAGAAGAGGTATAATTACGATTGGAAAGCCAAAAATATTTTGATCTCCTCCTTGGGAGTTGACGAATATTATAGGATTTCTCATTGTTTGACTGCAAAGGCTATGTAGGACTCATTGCAAGTTGCCCATGAGGGAACCAATGATGTTAAACTAGCGAGAATCAATACCTTAACGCAAGAGTTTGATCTCTTTCATATGGAGCAAGGGGAAATCATTGTTGACATGCAAAAGATATTTACTCATCTCATCAATAGACTATACTCACTAGGTAGGGCAGTTGCCAATGATGTTGCTACTAACAAAATCTTGAGATGTCTTAACAGGGAATGGCAACCAAAGATAACCTCCATAAAAGAAGCAAACGATCTCATGATTTTGGACCTCATAACATTGTTTGGAAAGCTTCAAGAGCACGAACAAGTGCTTCTTAGTCTAGAGCAATATGAGAAAAAGGAAAAGAAGGAGAAAACGAAAAATATTGAAAAGAAGTCTATCGCTCTCAAGACTTCTTGCTCAAAGTCCCACACAAAAGAGCTTAGTGATTACACCACGAGTGATGACGAAGATGATGACAAGAGTGATGATATGGGGCTGTTTGTAAAGCGATACAATCACTACATCAAAAAGAACGGTATCCAACATTCTGAAAAAAAATCTTGTCAACTTTCAAAAACAATCAAGATACTCCAAAAATGACGACAATAAAGGAAACAAAACAAAAGGGTCGTGTTATAACTGCGGAAAGACCAGAAACTACAAACTGGATTGTCCCTTGATGAAAAAGGACAAAAGGAAGGAAACAAGTCGGTCACATAAGAAGCAAGCTAAGCCAAGGAGAGTGTATATCGCTTGGGAAAGCGATAACGAGTCATCCGAGGATAACAGCTCTAGTGACGAAGACGAATCCGACAATCTTTGCCTTTCCGCCTATCAAAAGAACAAAAAGGAAAAGGTAAGACATGCGAAATATGATAATTCCTCTAAATTGTCTCATTTTGAATTGCAAACTGCTTTTAATACTTTACATTATAAAGCGAAAGAAGATTTTAAAAGGCTTGTCTCAAATAAACAAATCTTTGCTCACCTACAGCAAAAGATTTGTGATTCCGAAAAGAAACTAGAGGCATTAAAAGCTTCCATAGTGGAAAGTACAAAAGTAGATTGTGAGGAAATAAGAAAGAGAGTTGTTAACTTCGGGTG